GTGAGCACAGAGCAGTCAAAAGTCATGAACTGTGCCCCATCATGTGTAAATGGTAGTCGTGAGCACAGAGCAGTCAAAAGTCATGAACTGTGCCCTGCCACACTACCACGGGCAACTCGGCAACACCAGGTGTGGTGAAGTCCGGTTGTGTGGCTGGGCTGGTGACGTTCTGCACAGAGACTGTTGCCACAGCAGGAACTGTGACTCTGTGTCTCTGCAGCACAGACACGGTTTCCTGAGACCTGGCACGCCTGGCTCTCAGCCAGCAGGAAGCACGCGCTCAGGGACACGCTGAGCCCAGTCAGGGCCGGTGCGTCTCGTCACAGCTCCTCAGTCCAAGAACCGCTGAGCGCTCTGTGCCCCACCACAGCTCGAACAGAACCCCCTGCTCTGTACCCAGATAATTGAAAAATAACTACGTGTAGGCAGGTGAGTCAAATCCACTCAGAGCCGCCCTCTGATGAGCTCCTGCAAGCCCAGGAGATGACACATACATCAGCACTGGGCACCGCAGCCTGCTACGATCACACTGCCCCAGGCTGCCACAAGGCCAGCACTGCTCACAAGCCCTGCAGCATCAAGTCTCCTCTTGGCTTTGTGTGCATGAGATCAGGAGCACTGGGGTTTCCCTCATTTACCAGACGCAGAGCAGACTTGCAAAGCTTTCTGGTGACTTTGATTTATTTCTGTTTTTGCCAAATTAAACAAGAAATATTTTCCAAGCAATTACCCCGAAAATCACAGTCACCTCGAAAGTCACAGTATTCCCAGCACTGCAGCAGGAATATATGTTTGCGTCTAAACACTGGAAAATACTTCTCAAGCTCATTTTTGTTCCAGAGCAGAAAGCTTTGAAAATCGTCTCCACAGAGGCTGAAGCCCACAGGCACAGTCAACGTGGATACATTTTAGAATAAAGGAACAACATCGCCCCCTGGTGTCTTTCAGATGCAACGCAATCACAACCAATGTAAACCCATCCCCATCAGTGTCTATATCAAAAACCAACACAAAGATCACAAGGTCATATTTTTAATGTGTACAATGCCCTTCATCGTGTGAGATTGATTGCATAGCCTGGCTCTATTGCTTCAGACTCTTTCCCGGCACGCCTGGGAGTCTCCGCTCTCTGGCCATCTTCACAGACGTGGGAGCGCAGGGAGAACAGCGAGAGAGCAGAGCAGGAGCGGGACAGAGGCGCCCGGTCGGACCCTGAGCTTTCGGGGGGAAGGGGGCTGTGGGGGTTCTGCACACCCAGCCGGCCGACACCAGCTGAAGTAGCGGGGGGAGCTCAGTAAGAGGGTGCAGTCCAGCCAAGGTGTGGGTGTGTGCTAACAGATACCTGGTTTCGCTCAATAACAGAGCTACGGTGGGCGTGTCCGTGTGCGTTTGTGTTTGTGTTTGAGTTTGCGCGCACAAGTGAAGGCTGACCCCTGCTGGGGACTGTGTGCATTTACCAGAAACAAAAATGGAAAAATTTCAATCAGTGGGGTTCAGTTCCTTCTTAGTTTCACTTTCGTGGAACGTGCATGCCTCAACAGAAATCAACACCAGTAAGATTCTGCTCGAACAGCTCAGGCGCTCTGTCCCGAGGGGTGAGCGGGGTGCGAGGGAGGTGGGCTGGCGTGGAGGGTGGAGCTGGCGGGACTTCAGGGACAGCAGCGCGTGAGCTGAGCAGTGAGCGGGGAGCGGAACGAGCCCGGAGCAAGAGCGTGGAGGAGGGGAAGTGCAGGGCTCCGGTCGAGGGCAGAACTGGGCCGTGCCAGCAGATCGTGGAGGCTGGGCCACTGTGCCAGGCTGGAGCCCCCATGAGCTCCAGGCTGCCCACAGGAGGGCAAGCACCTGGTGCAGCTCTGTGCTACTGGCACAACGTCCACCCTGACCTCCAGCAGCCTAGAAACGGTGATGATGGGAGAACCAGTGCTGTCCATCAGCCGACAGAACCAGATCCGGGAGGGCTTCAAGAGTCCTGCACCCTACCCCCGTAACACTGACACAGGGCACCAGAACAGAGCTTATTCTGGGTCAGTGCTGGAGCAAGGACACTATGGAAACCAAGCCAAACAAAGAAAACTCTTCGGACCAGCATGTCTGACACACAGAACGGCCCCCCACCCCACAGTGCTGCTGTGAAACCTTCCTCCGCGGCTGTCGTTTCCCTGGGTGCAGCGGGAAGCTGTGGTGGCGGGAGGAGGTCAGACAGGGGTCACATGGCATTGGCGGTGGTGGAAGAGGAAGAGGGGTCCGGCTGTCCGTCTGGCCTCTCAGGAAAATGGGGCTGTTTTGTGCATTTTAAATATTTCTTTTCCTTATAAAAAAGACAGAAGACATTCATAGGAAGCCCAGTAAGAACAGGCAGGATGTCCCAAGTTTGTCCTGGTAGGAAGACTATTAAAGACAGGTGCCTTTGGCAGCAATTTCGAAAGAGCCAAAGGGGAACTGAATCTCCTGATTAAAAAAGCACTAGAACATTATTCTCGACTGGGTGGACACCAACAGTGGCCCAGTGGCCGGTCCTGTCCAGTAACCAGCACAGGGAGAACCAGTGAGACACAGAATCCAGTGTTGCATAGTCGGCGTGCATCTGTCTCTGTCTGTCCCGCAGGACCCCGGCGCCTCTCCCTGGGGTCTGTCAGCCACTGGCCGTGTCCACAGTGCTGCAGCCGTGCGGCAAGAGGGGCAGGGGGAGGGAGAGAGAGGAGGAGAGAGGAGAGAGGGGAGGAAGGAGAGAGAGGACGAGGGTGCGGGACAGGTCTGGGCAGTGCGTCCCCTCAGTCCAGCGTGCTGCTCTCCGAGCGGGAGATGTTGAGGGTGTTGGCCGAGGGGAAGAGCTCCTGTTGGTCGGTGGGGCTGTGGTAGTCAGAGGTCAGGTCGGGCTCCAGCAGGGTCAGGGGCATGGTGGCCAGCGAGAGGGCAGAGCCCTTCTTCAGGCACTGCGTGTAGAAGTTGAGCAGGAGGTCCAGCTTGTGCTCGATGGACTGCACCTGCGGCCAGGGACAGAGTCTCAGTCAGGCCCTCACTGCCAGACCGTCAGACAGCGCAACTCCACACAACCCCGGAGCTGAGCTCTGAGCCGAGCCCGAGGCAAACAGGACAACCCGCCCAAAACCCTTCCAAAATAACCAGGCCCAATACTAGTGCACGAAGCCAGACGGGACAGTATGGTCCCATTGAGATTGCGTTCTAACACACAGGAAACAAGCGACAGGAGGTAGAAACCGCCAGGGGAGGGAGGAGGTAAACGACGGAGACCAGCGGAGGTGCTCTCCGGAAACCTTATCCGGGAATCGACGGATTTTACCCCAATCGCCTCTGAGCTGCGGCGCTGAGCAGGAGCTCTGAAACCCCACCCTGCGGCGCTCAACCGGAAGCTCTCGTGTAGAAGACGCCACCACAGGAGCCTCTTGTGATTCAAGCTCAGTTAGAAACATCGGGACAGGGCTGGCTTGGCTTCAGCACTAAAGCAGGTCTCAGAGTAGCAGCCGTAGAGCGGACCCAATTTTGTCCCTGATCGTTAAAGGGATCTTCTGCTCTGCAAGTAGCTGATGTACTTATTACTTAATGAGTTGCCAGATGAAATTCACCGACGCAGCTGAAGTGTCAGTTTGAGCTTCGCAGCTGAATTACAGCAACTCAGCTCTTTTCCTCTTACCTGCAAATGTCACTGGTATGTGCACGTTCACCCCACATCTCACCTGTTTCTCCACCTTGACCACCCTTCCCATCATGCTCAGCTCATCCAGGGGGTCCAGCTCGGGGGGGGTCTTCTCCCCCTTCTCGCTCCGAACCTTCCTGTCGGGCTGGATGGCGCCCCGACCCACGATCTGGTCCACCCTGTGGGAGGAGACGTGTGGGTTTTTGCCGAGCACAGCCCAGAGCTGGCAGGGGGTCAGGACCCTGCGTTCTGAGGTGTGTCCCCCATGTTGGCCACAGCAAGACACATGGAGGCCGTATCTCATTCAGGAATTCCTCACAAGCCTCCAGGTCATCGCTCTAAACCATCCCACACAGGACAAAGGAGCATGGGCAAGGTCCCACTCCTGCCACTCTGCTCCCAGGACACTGTGGGTGGACGGGCAGAAGGCCAGTGGTTCAGACATGGGCAGAGGTCAGAGGTCAGAGGGTGGGTGGAAAGGTCAGAGGAGGCCAAAGACCTGAATGTGACCATGTCAGCTGGCTCTCGTGTGAGGTGTGCGGTCGTGTTTATCATGCGATATTGTGCTGTACCGTGTCTGCAGGCTCTTGATCCTGCCCAGCATGTCCAGGTGTCCGGCGGAGTACTGCTCGATCACGTCCTTCACATCGTACGGCCGCAGGGTCTCCTTGAACTTCCGCTTCGCCACCAGGAACTTGAGGATCCTGCGGTGAGAGAAGAGCCGCGAGGTCAGCTCTGCGGACGCCTGCCTGCCGCCGGCCGCCTCCCCCCCCCGCCAGCCGGCGCCCAGGATGTGCTGAGCTCATCTCCCGCAGACAGGCAGCCTGCTGACACGGACAGCCCACAGCCACTTCCTC